TCCCATCCGAACTATCACGGTTTTGGCGCATCACCATATAAACTATTTTTTTTTTACAAACCACCATATGAACTATACAAGTTTGTCAATGTTCCCCTTAAACCAGATATAAAGTGGTTTTGACTGAAAAAGCTGTTTGGTCACCATATGTGCCCCCTGAATACTTTTACAAACCACCATATGAACTATCACGGGTTTGTCAATTTGCCCCCTAAACCACTTTTATATTCGGTTTAGGGGGCATATTGACAAACCCGTATAGTTCATATGGTGGTTTGTAAACCGTGATAGTTCGGATGAGAAAAAGTATTTTACCCATAATAATAATATATTTTTGTGCATGTGCACAAGATAAATACTAGTTTATCTTAATTATAATTAAAGGTATTAATATAAAAAAAATCTAAAGAGATAAGAGGCGTCATTTATTCCTCGTCTCCTTATTTGGGTTTGGTACATCGGTCTCTGACCCGTTTGTCCTTTTCTCACCCGACTCGTCTAATCCTGAATTTAGACAATTGTAAATTTCGTCCCGTTAGATTGGGACGGTTTCATTTTTAGTCTCAAGATGTACAATTTCAGTCTTTAACTAATGTTTGTTCCGCATTTCGTCCCAAATTTAGTCCTTAATTAATTTTTTTCCGTATTTGGTCTCAAAATTTAACGGGCCGTGAAGTCACCGTTAACCCTCAGGACTAAAATTACGACCGTGAGACTAAAATTGGACCGTCCCAATCTAGCGGGACCAAATTTGTAATAGTAGATATTATTTTTATTTTTATTTTTTAAAATTTTATTAAACTCTACAGTTATATTTTATTTTTTATCAACCACTATAATTATAATAAAATTAAATGATGATTTTCTAAATATATTCAATATTTAATTAAAATATTTGAAATATAGAAAGCACTGTATTGCAATTAAATTTTTAAATACATAAATAATAATATAAATTTAAATTTATTTGAATTTATATATATCAAATATATTTAAGTTTATATTTTTGTTATATTAAAAATTATATAAATATTTATTCACTTATTTAAGTATATATATACACACACACACAAAATTGATTAGTCCGATCAACCAATTCTGACTGGTTCATTGGAAACCAGTTCGTTCAAAGGAATCCAACCACTTGACCGATTCTAGATTCAACAGTCAGTTTAGCCCAATTTTAAAAATAATAATAGTTGATATTATTTTTATTTTTATTTTACGTCTTAAATTTTTATTAACCTCTACAATTGTATTTTTTTATCAACCAATATAATTATAATAAAATTAAATAATTATTTTGTAAATATATTTATTATTTAATTAAAGATATTTTAAATACGAAAACATAATAATATAAATTCAAATATATTTGAATTTAAATATATCAAATATTTTAAATTTATATTTTTTTATATTAAAAAAATAAATATTTATTAACTTATTAAAAAAAATGGTAAATTGCACCAAACCCCCCTTGTGTTATACTAAATGTGCGCGTTACTACCATGTGTTTTAAAAACTGCACAAGACCTCCTTATGTTTAAGTACGTGTTGCACGCTTCCCCATACCGTCCAACATAACGGTGCGTGGAATACACCTTCTCCAGCTGCGAATATTATTCAATTTTTTTATTTTACAGAATTAATAATTTTCATTTATGCCATTTTGAATGCTGCAAAATCTAAAATTGTATAATGTAGGCAGCAAGATTCGGTTAAGAGTCGGTTAAGAGAGACCTTAAAGATTGGAATATCTCCAAGGACTTAGCGGTGGATAGGAGCGCTTGGAGGCTAGCGATCAACGTGCCAGAACCGTGAATGTTGCTCGTTTCTCGTTTGTTCCATTTTCTTCCTTTTGTTTTTGAGTTCCTTATTTTTCTTTTATTTTATTTTTTATTTTTTAGTTATTTTTATTTTTATTTTTATTTATTTATTTATTTTATTATTATTATTATTATTTTATTATTATTATTATTATTATTTTATATATATATTTTTTCTTTTTTTTCCTTACAATCGGTTCTTTTGTGTTTCATCTCTAGCATACCCCAACTTTCTTGGGACTAAAGGCTATGTTGTTGTTGTTAGGCAGCAAGATTCGAACCCATGTGGTAGGAATGGGCACGCCCACTCTACCAGTGGGCTACATGGATGGATGTGAAATTCATTCAACATAAATATATTTATACATCA